AGTTTTGATTGGTTTTGCACCCGAGTCAGACCTGTCTGTTATTGGCTGAAGTGCAGGGCTCCACCCCAGGAGTTTGAAAAGTGCCCGTCATATAAAAAACAATAATTATTTTTTTTTTAATTTATAAATTTTAAAAAGCTATCATTCCCACTAAACATGAATTGTTATTAAATTATCATAACTGATTTTATTTGCACTCAACCTTGTGCATTTAGACAATATAAGGTAGACAGCTAATGGCTATATCAAACTGGACAAAAATAATGAATAAATAATGAATAAACTTAGCTACCTTAAAGGCATAAGTTCACCCAAAAATGAAAATTCTGTCATTAATTATTCACCCTTGTGTCGTTACAAACCTGTAAGACCTTAGTTCATCTTCAGAACACAAATGAATATATTTTTGATGAAATCCGAGGGCGTTCTGACCCTCAATAGACAGCAATGCAACTGAAATGTTCCGAGGCACAGAAATGCAGTAAAGACATCAGTAAAACAGGATGGAGAAGTCCACAGCAACATCCTGGAAATGGCCATGGATGAGAGCCTCCATCACTCCACCTGCCCTTACTGCCTCACCTGGACCGGATGTTGCTGTGGTCTCTTCATCCTCAGTGAGCTCAGAGCCAGCGACAGCATCTAGAGAAAGACCAAAAGACATTGAGGATGTGATTTTGGTCAAGTTTTTTCTGCTGGTTTCTGTTCATACTACATCAGTCAATGAAGCCCGAGTTTCAGAAGCTTCAAAAGCATCATTATATAATGTCATGAAGCTTCTGAAAGTCAGGGTTCATTGAGTGATATTGTATGAACAGAAACCAGCAACCAGCAGGACAACCTTTACCAAAATCACCTTTTATGTTCAGAAAAAAAAACCAGCATGGAGGCGAGTAAATAATGACTGAATTTATGTGTTTGGGTGAAATAACCCTTTAAACCCCCCAAATAAAAATTTTATGAAATACCAAGTTCTGTCATGAAACTCTAGATGGCGCCGGCTGATGGGTCCTTAACGTAAACTTGCATTAAAAGCAAAAGCATGTAAAAAGCATTAAACGACTTGTCACAAGCTGGTTCGTGTTGCATATGCAGCCAATGAGCTTGCTGCTTTACATTTAAATGGTTGGTTAGCATTTGCTTGAGCATTGCAGCGTTGTTTTAGAGTTCCTCTGAAACCCTCCACCTTCCCCAACATTGTCATAACCATTACCATGCTAAAATCTCCAGAGAGTTGTCATGATAGAAATGTTTATATTAGGGTGACCATGCGTGCCATTTTCCCAGGACGTGTCCTGGCCAGGATTTGTTTTGGCTTTGTTTTCCTGTTTTCATGCTTGCTGAAGGTAATGATCGAAAAGTAGTTTGACCAATAACATGCAAGCATTGTAAATAATGGACCAATCATGGCATGTGAGAAGGTGGGATCTACGGTCAAAGCGATGCAATTACGCGTACATATTAGGTGTGTTCGACTTAACAGTGTTCGACTTAGCAGTGCGGCTCAGACCGATCAGTGTTTGACATCAAAGTACCTCGAGAGCGTTTCAAAAGCATAACCGTCTGTATGGTACTTTGATGTCATACACCAATCGGTCTGCACACGCAAACAAAGCCAAAACCTAGATATTTTAGGCAATATAGAAATCCTGGCCAGGACGCGTCCTGGGAAAATGGCACGTATGGTCACCCTAGTTTATATTATAGTAGTGCCTTGAAGAAATAAACTTCAAGAAATAAGCAGCTTTATTGAGCGTTTGTACCCAAGACACAAAAAAGGATTTACAAAAATCACATTTACATTTATTCATTTGTCAGACACTTTTATCCGAAGTGACTTATAGTGCTCTTATTACAGGGACCCCAATCCCCCTGCAGCCACCTGGAGTAAAGAGCCTTACTAGTGTGTATTCATCATACCTATGTCATATGACAAAACAAATTAAATTTAGCTTGTTTTACTATATATAATAATTATATATTATGTTTATATTATATAATGTATCATATATTGTACATATATTGCATATATAGCCGTACTAGGTAGGGTTGTGGAGTTACTGATGCTATGAGGAGTTAGTGCATAACTTTTTTATTATTATTATTACTGCAGAACTTTTAATTACATACGAGATCAGGGAAAGATGGTTGTATCTTTAACAATGAACAATCATAATGACAAAAAAAAACATAAAACAAATATAATGGGTTTGTGTACATCATAGTAAGATATTACATACACAGAAAAAAGGTACAATGACAAGGTTAAATATCTTTGAATAATAATATTCATATAATCATAATGCATCAAAAATTGCATTTGTTGTTTTTGAGCATTTATATGCATATACATATTATATGCATAAGCATATACTTATGATGGCAACACTGAATTTTATCCATAAAATGGAAATTTTGTAAAATATGTTGGTATATGATTTACATATTTCAGATTTCCACAGATGAAATACACTACTTTAAAATAGATTATTTAGCATGGTCAGATACAGCAGTGATTTTCTGCTGCTACAAACAGTATAAGTGGTAAAATTCTCAGAGAACTATTTGCACCATAACACCAGAAGAATGGGAAGAGTGTGTGAGTGAAGGTGGCTGTGAATGTGTGTAGATGTGTGTTAGTTACAGGATCAGAGAATGACACCGTTCCTCTGTCACAGTACAGATACACTCTCACACGATCAAGCTGCTGTTTAACACGAAAACCAGAGTGTTTTAACAGTCTGTACTTATCATGCTGCACACTCCAGACATCAGTGTTGAAGAAATCACGTCCCTTCCTCTGGTTTGATGCTGTAGTTACTCCAAGACACCAGCCTGAACTTTCCTTAAGCTCCACATCCCAGCAGTGTGTTCCTGAGTTAAAACCCTCTGAACCCATAACACAGGAATAGAAGTCAAATCTCTCTGGATTATCAGGAGGAGGTTGTTTGTTGCTCCATCTCACACTGGTCAGATCATCAGACAGGACGAGACGTGGATTCGCAGTGTTTGGATCCAGAATCACAGGAGCTGATGAGACACAATCAACAGATGCTGTTATTCTGATGTTCATATAATGATCAAGAGTGAACCACACACAGATTATTATGAATTATGACATTCGTCCTGTTGATCAAACACTTCAGACATTTTCCTCTCATCACTGTCATTGTTTTTATAATAAATATGTGCTTTAGAAATGATAGATTTGCATCCCATGTCAACAGAAACTGATATTGACAAAAATAATCTGTAAATATGATGTGGACCAAAGTTGTTTTTTTGTGACTTATTTTGGTATAATATGTAATTTTGTTATTCACACAAAGGGCCAGATTTACTAAAAAGGGCAAATTAGTGTTAGAGCGCAATTCCATAAATGGGAGTGGAAATTTATGCACTTGATTTACTGACAAGACGCACACACAGAGAACACAGGTGCAACATCTCATTTAATTTTCATAATGACCAATGCAATCTACCAAGAGTAGCGCAAAATAACGTCTGCTTTAAGACGTGCTTTTTTGGGGCGTTAAATAATGGCACAAATACCAGTAAATTGACAAGCGCAAATCTTAGAAAATCACGTTGCGTGATTAATTTAAATACTCTCCTCTCATAAATTTAGCATTTGAAAGGGAAACTCCTACAAATGCATATGCAAGAAGGTCTGCCGCAAAAATAACTCTGTCCACACCTTTTCAGCACTAATATTTCACTGCGTGTCTTTAGTAAATCCTGACAGTAGTTTTTTTAACACCAAAAGAGGGTTTGCATTGGCGCAAACTGTTAGTAAATCTGGCCCAAACTGTCTAAATCTTTAAATATCCCTTATGCGTCATTTCCAGTGTGTGTATGCGAGCTCAGATCTTCTGCAATCAGACTCACTGTTTTGGACGATGTCCTGCATCTTCCTCCAGACTCTGAACGGCAGGTTACCCAAGTAACACGGCACACGAATCAAAGCTCCAGAAAGCATCTGTGGATCCGGCTGTGATGAGATCTGGACTCTGGAGGAACATTCAGGATCAGAACTGCAGTGGCTTTGGATCAGAAGCAGAGAGAGCAGAGACAGCAGCAGATCACTCACCTTTCCATCGTGACTGGAAACTCCTGCAGAACAAACACACCATTGATCATCAAGAACTCAATCAATCATCAATCAATCAATCAATGGATGATCTGAAATCAGACCTTCAGAAAGCAGACGTCACTGGCTTTCATCATCTCCTCCATGTCTTTGATTGTGTGTGAAAGAGCTGAGATGTGTCTGTTCATCTCCTCCAGCTTCTCCTTCATCATCTGCTTCTTCTGCTCCTCTTCCTCTCTCAGTGCAGTGATTGTAGCTTCTTCTTCATCTCTGAGAAACTGATGAAGCTTCTCAAACTGCTGTTTAATCTGACGCTCTGTGTGCTCTGCTTGAGACTGAAATCAAACCACATTCTCTTCAATCATCTATATCGACACACATCAACACATCACATCATTCAGATATGAGATCAACTCTGATACCAGATACAGATTGCTGCTTGTTATTTACAAAAATAATCAACTGGAGTCCATTATATTAAATATATCAGATCATAACTGTATATAGTGATCTACAGCTGTAATGAAGATGACTCTGGATTCTGTTTCCTCACCTCGATGTGACGAACTGTTTCCTCAAACTCTTCTTTCATTTCTTCATTCTGTTCCAGTTTTTCTTGTAATGATTTCAGTGCTGTATTGAGCTCCTCCTAGAATTAAATAACATAAAAATCCATAAAACACAAGATTACAGTGAAAGAATAAGATAAAACAATACAGTGATATGATCATATGATGCAGTGCAAAAGTATTTCTATCCAGATGTCTTCTGTTTTTGTGAACATCTCATACTAAATTAATTCAGAAATTAAAACTTGCCATAAAACAAACACAACCTGAGTGAACACAAAGCACAGTTTGTAAATGACAAAGTGATCATAACTGTATATAGTGATCTACAGCTGTAATGGAAATTACTCTGGATTCTGTTTCCTCACCGTGATGTGTTGAACTGTTTTCTCAAACTCTCCTTTAATGTTTTCATTTTGTTTCAGTTTCTCTTGTAATGATTTCAGTGCTGTATTGAGCTCCTCCTAGAATTGAACAAAAAGTACATAAAACACCAGATTACAGCAAAGAAAATAAAAGAAGACAATACAGTGATATGATCATATAATGCAGAGAAAATTATTTGCCCACATCCTGATTTCTTCTGTTTTCTGTACATACTAAATTGATTCAGAAATGAAAACCTACCATAAAACAAAAGCAAGCTGAGAGAACACAAAGTTGAAGCAAAAAAGTTATTCAATAACAACTGGGCCTGCATGAACATGCATTTGCCCCCGTAGTTACTGATTACCCAGATCTATGGCCCTGTTTACACCTGGTATTAAGATGCGTTTTGGTTGATCAAAACACAAGTAGATGAGGAAGACCAATATTTACACCTATATTTAGCATCGTCTACTTGCGATCCAATCGACCAAAACACATCTTAATACCAGGTGTAAACAGGGCCTATGAAACTGCATTCATAATGGGGTTCAGCTAAACTAAATGGAACCGGTCCTGATTACTGCCAACCTTGATTAATTAAATCGCCACTTAAATAGGACCTTTTCAACAGCATGAAGTAGAAAAAGTTGTTTGTCTCACCTTGTATGATGAAACCACTTCACTGACGGGTCTGAATGTGTGATTGATGTGTTTCTGTGAATCTCTGCACACTAAACACACCGGCTGTTTGTCCTCCAGACAGAAGAGTTTGAGTTTCTCACTGTGTAAACTGCAGATCTCCTCAGATCCTGATGAGTGTTTCTCATTTCTCTCCTTCAGAAATGACTCACACAAGTTTTTTAACACAAGATTAACAGGAGGTTCTTCTCTTGAGGACCTTCTCCTGCAGACGGGACACTCCTGAGTTTGCTTGATTCTCCAGAACTGTTGAAGACACTCTTTACAGAAACTGTGACTACATGATAAAAGAACAGGAGCCTTGAAGATTTCACAGCACACAGGACAAGAAAGCTCTTCTACAGACAAGGAATCCATTTTCACTGTTTGAGCTCCAGAAATCTAAACTCTACTTTCTGAATGATGGTTTAAAAAATGAACCACCATAAGAGTCACAAAGATATGCTGTCTCTTCAGAAACAAATGCCTCTTAGTTCTGCGCTGATCACTGATTGTTATTGCTTTTGTCGAGACAAAGTCAGTATGGTAGAAAGGAGAAGTCACAAGTCAGTTTCTTCCTGGAAAGTGTTATAAGAGGGCAAAGTTTCTGATCACCTTTGGGCGTGTTCAACAGGTCAGACAGGAACATCAAGATTTCTTCAGGTAAAATGTATTCTAAATGAGCTTGCATTCAATCATTAAATATAATATAATGCAATAAAACCTTGGATCAAAATAAACAATAAAAATTCACAAATGTTGATAATAAAAAACCTCATTATGTGTGTTCTATTTATTATTCTTTATATGTCGCTTAGTTTCTTCAGTGTCTGTCATAATCAAATCTTTGTTAAGTAAAGTCAATTTTATTTATATAGTGCTTTTTACACTACAGCTTGTTTCAAAGCAGCTTTACAGTGGTGTAAGACCTGAAATGATAACTCTCACAAAACAGATGCCACGGAACAAAACAATAAACTTTCTAATCTGAAAGGAAAATCTCAAAGACATACATTTACTCAACTGTCCCTTCACCCGTCCTTAAGCCCCCATTCTTCCCTCCTGGCCATATGACTGCGGTCAAGCCAGCCACACTTTGAAAAACATGGTCAAACCAGCTGCACTTTTTTTGCCTTGCGCGTCTAATCGTGCACTTACGGTACGGGTGCTGGGACTGGTCAAAATGGATGTATAGAAGCGGTCATACCGGCGTTTCCTTTACATGTACAGTTTCAGAGAAAATTAAAGGCAAAATCACCCCAAACATTCTTGCACTTGGATAATTTCCTTATATTCAAACACTCATAAAAAGTGTCATTTTATAGGTTAGCTTATTCTTTCAATATGTATTCAGAGTGACCCTGACTATCACTGTATTCATTTTCAAGGCATTTTACTGTATAGTTTTGGAGAAAACTAAAAGCAAAATCACCCCAAACAACAAAATGCATTCTAGCACTTGCACTGTGTCCCATTTCCAACACTCATAAAAAGTGGAGTAATATGTTCTCATTTTCGAACACCTGTAAGAAGCCTGGCAGCGGCATTCTGTACCATCCGAAGACGGGCTAGAGAGGACTGATTAATGCCCATATAAAGGGAGTTACAGTAGTCTAATCTTGTTGAGACGAAAGCATGAATCACTTTTTCAAAAGTCCTTAAAAGACAAAAAAGGTTTGACCTTGGCTAGGACTCGGAGATGAAAAAAACTGGTTTTAACCACAAAATTAATCTGTCAAATTTGAGAGAGCTATTAAAAAGCACACCCAAATTCTTCACTAATGGTTTGACAAATGGAGACAGCGGACCAAAATCTAAACAAGAAGAGCTAAAGGCTTCTGAGGATTCAAAAACTATAATCTCAGTTTTGTTTTTATTGAGATGAAGAACATTTTCGGACATCCAAGCCTTCACGTCAGCAAGACAAGCCAACAGAGTATCCATGCCCCTCTTATCAGATTCCAGGGGCAGATAAATCTGTGTATTGTCCGCAAAAACAATGAAATTAAATATTGTGTTCCTTAAAAATTGACCCCAGAGGAAGCATATACAGTGAAAATAATATCAGAGCAAGGATAGAATCTTGCGGGACACCGCAAGTAAGAGGAGTAGCACCTGTCGTGAGTTCTCCAATATTAACAGAAAAGCTTCTGTTATAAAGATAAGACTGAAACCATTTAAGAGCATTTCCCCGTGTAGAGCCCTGAACAAATGTTTGGATTTCTGAATTTAGCGTTGTGTTTAAAAGAAAGACAAAAGAGAATTTTACCATTAGTATTTGTTTAAAATATTACACTTTATGATATCGCTGATATTACATGATTGTCAGGGGTCTTGGTCTGGTGTTTCTCCCTCTCACCACCAGAGGTCGCCATTTCCCTTCCTCCCGGACTCCTTTACCTTAACTCCACACACCTATTCACCTACTCTCTCACACACACAGCTGTTGCCCATCCTGATGGCTATTTATACTCCTTCCCCACGCCTCTCTGGGCTGATTGTTAGTTGTTGATATGTGGAATGATGCAAGCACTAAGTTGCCGTAGTTGTGTCAAATCCCTGTTTCTGTTTTGAGCCTGTTGTCAGATTCTGATATCTGTTTGTGTTTCCGTTTTGGTTTTTACTTTGTTTGCCCTTAAGTTAATAAAGACCTGCATTTGGACCCAGACCCTTGTTTACAAGGGTTGTTCCCTTACCGCGCCGTGACAGAACAATCAGCCAAACATGGGTCCAACAGGAAAGTTCCTCAACATCTGCCAGGGAGACCGGTGCATTAAGGATTACGCCAGGGACTTTGTGGGAGTGGCTCGCCAATCGCCTACGGAGAAGACCTGCCTAATGGTCTTTTTCTGGGGTGGCCTAACCGAGCCCTTCAAATCCCTTATGCCATTCTGGCACCCCGAGGAGGCGCTGGAGGACTACATCAACCTGGCTCTGCAGTTGAGCGGCTCAGCCGTCAGGTGGAGTTAGCTGCGGAGCCTGCTCACAGTTCTCCCGAAGCGGCAATCCAAGGGTCGTCAGAGGCCTCGTCTGCCCCACCCAGTACCTCACGCCCATTCCTGGAGCGTCGCGGGCTGATACGCAGCGTGCAGGAACCTCCGCTGATGTCGGTGCGAGCGGCGTGGTCTGCTTGCAGAGCCCCTGAGGTAGCGGTGCCCACTCACCATTCCCCCGAGGTGGGGGTGCCTGCTCATAAAGCTCCAGAAGCGGCGGCATCTGCTCATAGTTCCCACGAGGCGGCGGTGTCCACTCACAAAGCTCCAGAAGCGTTGGTGTCCGCTCACAGTTCCCCCGAGGCGGCAGTGTCCGCTCACAAAGCTCCAGAAGTGGCGGTGTCCGCTCACAGCTCCCCCGAGGCGGCGGTGTCCGCTCACGATCCTCCCGAGGCGGCGATACCCGCTCATGATCCTCCCGAGGTGGAGGTGCTCGCTCATGATCCTCCCGAGGTGGCGGTGCTCGCTCATGATCCTCAGGCTGGGCCTGTTCACAATGTTCTCAAAGTGGATGTGCCCACTCAGGATCCCCTTGAGGTGGCGGCGCCCTCTCACGAAGCTCCAGAAGCGGCGGTGTCAGCTCACAGCTCCGCCGAGGCGGCGGTGTCCGCTCACAGTTCCGCCGGGGCGGCGGTGTCAGTGGCTAAATTAATGAAAAATAAAGCATCAACAGGTGTTGACATTTCCCAACTGCACAGCAGTAATGACTTTATGAACTACTTTACTTCCAAGATCGATACTATTAGAGATAAAATTGTAACCAAGCAGCCGTCAGCTACAGTATCGCATCAGACAGTGTGCTATAGATCCCCTGAGGAACAATTCCACTCATTCTCTTCTATAGGAGAGGAAGAATTGTATAAACTTGTCAAATAATCTAAACAAACAACATGGATGATAGACCCTATTCCATCTAAGCTCCTAAAATAGGTGCTTCCAGAAGTAGAGAAAAAAATTATCTGTGAGGATTTCCAGTCAGGATTAAGACCGTATCATAGAACTGAGTCTGCCCTCATTAGAGTTACAAATGACCTGCTCTTATCATCTGATCATGGTTGTATCTCTCTATTAGTGCTATTGGATCTTAGTGCTGTGTTCAACACTATTGACAACAACATTCTTTTGAATAAACTTAATGGAAGTGCATTAGCATGGTTCAAATCGTACTTATCTGACCGCCATCAATTTGTAGCAGTGAATGAAGAGGTATCATATTGATCACAAGTGCAGTATGGAGTACCTCAAGGCTCAGTACTTGGGCCGTTACTTTTCACGCTTTACATGTTACCCTTGGGATATATCATCAGGAAATGCTGATGATACTCAGCTCTATATTTCTTCGCAGCCCGGCGAAAATCTTACCTTTGAAAGCCATGTTTCTAGCATTTGTAAAACTGAATTTTTCTATCTCTTAAATATATCTAAATTATGACCTATGCTCTCAATGTCAAATGCAGAAATGTTAATTCATGGAAGTCAATAACAGAGTAATTTTTCAGCTAAAGTCAGTTCATTGATGATTCAGTGATGTCATCATCCAGTTCAGTTCTCTTCCAATAGTGTCTGTGCAATCAGTCAGTTAAGCGTCCCCAACTAAGCAAGCTAAAGGCGACAGTGGCAAGGAACCAAAATTCCATCGGTAACAGAAATGGTGAAAAAAACCTTGGGAGAAACCAGGCTCAGTCGGGGGGCCAGTTGTCCTCTGGCCAGACAAAACCAGCATGGCGTGGTTTAATTCCAGGCTGCAACACAGGTGCAGAGGACTCGCCTGGTCCCTGTGGTCTTGTCCCGATGGTCGTCGAGGTGACGAGGTTGTAGGATATCAGACCGAATCAGACAATCTAAGATTTGGTCAAACATGGCTGAAAGGTCTTCGCAAGGGATCTGTTTCTGGGGTGCATCTAGTTGAACCTCTTCTCCATCAAGGGAGATTTTCTTTCTTGAACTAAGTAAATTGGTTGTTGACTATCCATTGGCTGACTACAAAGTTGGAGGTCTTCGTTTGGTGTCACTGAAAAGACAAATTCATTCATAGCAGGTTCCCTGTAAATATGTTAATCTTGTTTAAATGCTTATGTACCTACAGTGCAGACAATACAGATTTTTTTCTTGTTTCAATAGGATTGTAAAAATGACCTCCCCTGTCATCCTGCGGGTAATTCTGGGAAAGAACAATGCCCAGAAAGTGACACTTCAGAGTGGTGTTCCTTGTTCATTGGCAGAATTACTGAAAGAAATACAGACACAGTGTAATTTGATGGGAAAAATCAGACTTCAAATTATGGACCCTGACTTTAATGAATTTATGAACCTGACTTCCACAGCTGATGTTCAGAACAAGAGCACCCTTAATGTAATCAAACTGTGAATCTTTAGCAGTATCTC